TTCTTCGATGAATGTATTAAGTCAATTTAATATAAAATTAATCGCCGAGAAATATTTCATATAAAATAAAAATCTTTAAAAGCCTCAAGTGTAGTGCATATACTATTGCGATGATTTTTATTTAACCAAAAAATAAATAGCCAACTATAGAGACGGACTTTAATAAATACTAAGTTCTAAATATAAAAGTATTGTTAAAACGCGGAAAACTTCTGGATTTGATTTTTATAGGAAAAACTTTATCCGAGTTTGATAACTTTGAGGTTAGCTAACGGCTGTAGCCGGGAGGTGGAAATTACGTAAAATGTCAATGTGGACTTCTTGTAAAAGATCAAAAGAAAGAATCCTTAATTTCGGCTTATGGCTAGGGGGGGATTATTTCTTTCAAGAAATATTAAATAAAAATCTGTCTACCGTTATAAGATGAGGTATTATTTACATTGTTCGAACTCTAGTCTTCATCGTTGTCATATTCACGACGTTTCGGTTGTTGTACGCTCCGGCCTTCTTCAGGTGATATTTTGGAATTTTGAACCGAACAATGTAGATCACCTGAAGAAGACCGGAGCGTACAACGACCAAAAGGACGCGAATATGATAATGTAAATATTAAATAAAGTTATTTAATTACAATTAAATATAATTGGACTTTAAATAAATGCTGGATATATGAAATAATTTCTTAAATGCTACAAAAATTCGGCACAGTAAGATGAAGAAGCAAAAACATGTTGAAATTAACTGTCTAAATGAAAGTGGTAGCGTAATTCCTCTAGAAAATTTACTTCAATTGCATTTTGCAAACAGATTCCATGCTCAATTTAGGGTGCGTCTTGTATACAGTATAATACAGGATATAAATTAAACAGTTCGGTTGCAAGAAAGTGTCATGGAAGAAAAATCATATATGAAAAACAGTTCTGGTACGCTTTATTTAGATCGAAAAAATACCGTAGTAAATAAGTTACACCTTCGTAGGTACCTCAACATGAATCACAATAAGCTTTTTCCATTTATGACTAATTAATCTACATTTACTTACTATCACTAAGAAGCTGTACAAGTTAATGCAGAAACGTAAAATCTAAAACTTTATAAAATTAAAAAAAAAAAAAAAACAAAACACGAAAACAATGTAAAAATTAATTATTCATCGATATTTTTAAACAATAGCATATTTATTATCTTTTTCATAAAAAGCAATTAAAAGCTTTTCTAATGGAATAATGTCTTAGTTATACTGTATTTGTTTTTTTATTTTACCGAAAGAATCGTAACTGGGGGGGTCCTGTTTTACATAAAAAATTCTCCAAGGAGTTTTGCGTATAATTTAGTGGTACAAAAATTAATTTATCGAAATTTCATAAATTAAATAACTGGGAGGTTATATATATATTTTTATTTTCTAAAAAAAAAAATTATTTCATTCATTTGTGAATAAATCCTGGAAGTTTCATAAAAATCCGACTATTTGATTTTTACAAAAATTTCTAAATCAGTGTGTTTTTCACCGCAAATATCCTATAGTAATCTTTGGTTCCCGCTGATGCACCGAACAAGATTTTTAAACCAAAATTTCGAACGTTCTAAAAAGGATAAAAAAAAAAAATATAATTTAATAATTCAAAAATCCTTTGATCTTTCCTACTAATAATAGCAAAGATATTGACGATCAAACTTAAGTTTGGGGCATTTCTTTTAGACTTCAACATGGTACTTATTTTTATTTTTTATTTTTTTATCGAATCAGTGGAGGTACCTACACCTTCGGCTTTTGGGGTGAGAAAAAGTCTTTGAGAAAGTAAGGTTTCCATTTAAGTTTAATAAAATTAATCATTTATAATAATGAGTTAGATTTGAATGAAATAAGTGTTAGATGCATTATTTAATTTGTAGAAATTAAACATTTGAAGACCTTTTTTAAGTGGCAGCCTTATACGTGCCAGCACAATGATAAAATCATGTCTTATTCAATAGAAAAAAAATGCAGTTTTGTTTATTAAATAATAAATTGAGATATAAATTATAGTAATGAGGTATATTAACCCATTAATGCTGCCATAAAAATCTGGTATTAATTATAGGTTTCTATAGATAACCGCCAATGACTATCGTTCCACAAAAATGGCAGTGAGTATTATAACACTCGCTTTATACCGTAGAGCATTGTCACAGGACCAATAACATGGTGTTGCAGGCACACCATTTAAAATATGTATATATAAAAACAATTAAAATGTAAATGATAGTTTTTTTTTTTTTGTTTTTTCTATACCGTTCTTGTATTCTTTCTCTGATGGCTTTTTTAATTATTTGGAAAAATCACATTAAAAGACTAATATTAAATGATTTTGTAAATTTCAAAAATCTGTTTCACTGTAATGTAAACGAATAAAGCAGTTTGTTAATAATGCAAATATTATTACTAAAAACCAGAAACTCGTGGCAGTTGCTTGATAGTTATTCAGAAAACTACTTTATTAAATCATAAAAATGAAACTTTTCAATTTCTAAATATTAAACAAACATTTTGTCGTGTGTTCAAACATATCCCGGTTCTAACGGAAGTTTACTAAGTTCATATATATATATATATATATATATATAAGCAATACTTTAAATTATTATTTTAAACAAGAGCTGATATTATTTTACTATTAGACCCGTTTCATCCCCGACTATTGTTTAAGTAGTCAACTGACCAATGACTGAAGTAAGGGTGGAACTGATCATGCGCATTAGGTTAATAAAGATGGGTGTCCCTTTTAGTAAAAAATTAGCAGAGATTTTACTCGGTTTCTTATTCGTGGAGAGAAAAAAAAAAGTCAGTTATGACTAAGTGTTGGTAACCGAAGATAGTCTTAGGGAAAAAAAATCATAGAAGACGTCATTCTTTCGGTTTGTGAACAAAACAAAAATAAAAAAGAAATAAACATTTAATTCATAGTCAACTTGACTATATCTATGGACCGATTCCCGATATTTATTTATTTTTTTTAATATACGGTTTTCAAAAATCTGTCGCCTCTTGACAGGAGATGACTGGGTTGTATACTCACAGGTCTGTTTACAAGAGACGTGTGACTAATCAGGTAGGTAGGAAAACAGACTATGGCAAATCGTACATAGTCTACGTACGTATAAGCATGATTAACAGACAGAATGATAGACATGTAGGGAAATAAGTTAAGTAAACAGAAATAAATGGGCCATCTGATGTCAATTTATATACAATTGACAGGTAGATAAGTAGATAGACAGAATGCGTTTAAATTAGTTGGAAGTCTATCAAGTAGGTTTTTGTAGTGAGACATTATGGTATCAAAAGTGCGTAATATTTAAATTTCTTAAAAAAAAAAAAAAAAGAATAAGTGACAAGGTTTTATTTAGAAATGTATGTATTTCATAACTGCAACTTGCAGGCCATCATTCTACGACCGTTACCCAGCAGCATGCATCTGAAATAAAGACGAACATTGATCTATGCTGTTGACTTGCGATCGTAGATTTGCCATAAAGAGCGACTGAAATTAGGATGAAAGAAATGCTAATCGAAAATTAATTATAGTGAATTTAATCTTCGCCAATTCTGCATCAGTCGCTGTTTTAACTATGGAGGGAAAAGAAATCTGAGAAAAAAAATTCAATTTTTTTTTCAGTGATATTTTCTTTTAAAATAGGTCGTAGTAATATATTTATTTTTACTTTATTTGATTATCAAATGTCTTAATAAATTAAACTAGCTTATTAAAACATGAAGTTTATTACATTACTATAAATGAAGTGATTTATTTCATTAAAATATTAATTTTTATCTTTTATTAGTTTTGGTTAGTAATATTTTCATTTCAATGAAAAAAAAATTATTTTTTAAAATAGAGGAAAAAAAAACAAAAAAAAAACCTCACTTTTTTTTTCCTACCCCTAAGCCGATGAGTAAGTGAGTTTAATCTACATTGGGTTCAGCATACAAAAATATCAACCAACCAACCAACATATGCCATTCTTTTTTCCAAAAACCATTTCGGCAACCCGCGAAACAATGGGTACCGCTCCTTCAAATCTTTGACATAAATTGTCTTCTGATTCTTTTCTCGAAAAGATTTTTTTTTTGTGTATGTGTCTTGTATTTTGAAATTGTACCATATCCTGGTCGATCCCTTTCCATTCTGTCTCTAACCATAAATTCACAATCCTAGTTCAAAATTCCGTTCGAAAGTTTGAGCATTTAAATATCCAGATTATTTATTTTAACGTTTTATATCTCCAGAGGCGTTCGCTGGGGAAACAGCACTGATAATTATATTTACTCAATTGTACTGCACATTTCTCTTTGGTTGTTTCATGTAACACTAACTTTGTGTTCCTATATATAATAATAAAAAAATGTATCATTATTTGTTTGTGTTCATGTAACAGGGTTGCCAGTAAAATATATTCTGAATAATGTATATGCTCTTTCCAATAGGGAAATTGGCAGCGGACGCCTGTGAACCCCTTACCTTTTCTTTTAAGGATTTTAAGTTTGGAGCAGAATAGATAAGTTTTATGGGGGAACTAGTTCATTTTTTGTTTCTATATTCTAGCAATTGTTGAAAAACTTTCCCAGAATTTTGTTTGACTGATTTACTTTTTCGTTGTGTCAAGCCGAATTAAACTGTATTTATCAAACTATGTTCGTTCAGTACTTGCATGAATGTACTGAACATGATAGAAGCCTTTCGCAATCGTAAACTAGGCAGTTTCGAATCTAGTCAAGAGAAACATTTCTTCATTCAAGATTTTTTTTTCTCTTGACATATTTAGGCTATTGGCCACTGTTGGCGTTCATTTACTTTTATTCATCGTGTTGTCTTTGTGTATGTGTGTGTAGTCTCATTTGCTCATGTATTCTGAGTATAGTCCAGTTTATTTTATTTTATTTTTTTTTTTTTTTATTCCGAGGGGAGGAAAAAACCTCGATCAGTCACGGCAGGTCATTTCCTCTTCTGTCCTCACCATCAGTTGCAGTAGTGCATGTCCATTCTGTGGGTGCATTTTTTGCACAGTACGTAACAACACCAGTAGAACTTACACTCGCAGTCTTCCGTTATGACCCTGGGGATGGTCTGGAAGCCCCGGCCGCAGCACATGAGGACACAACCATCCAAACCATCGCTGTCTCGCTTACAGCGACGGTTTCGCGTACCCAGCGAGCCGTACTTGGTGTTGTTCAAGCAGAAATCTGGTGATTGTTTCAAGTAAACGAGGTCCTTCTTGGTTGGTTTCTTCATGAACTTGTTGACCGGCTTTAACTTGTGCTTCTTACGACTCATTTTCACGTGACTGGCACCGTCATAACGCTTGAAGAGGTACGAGCCAGTTGCCCGGAAACTTTCCATGTTACGCCAACATATTCGCGCTGAACATGAACCGGAAACACCGTGGCATTTGCACACTCTTTTGATGTTAGCTTTGACAGCCTGCAAGAAAATAAGAGGAAATTTAGATATGTTTTCAAATAACAAGCAAAATAAAAATAAAACGCACAGAGGAAAAAGAAACTTCAAAGGCGCTTGTCGTGGCCCTAACTATAACTTTTAACCATTTCTACGTGTCTCTAATTTACGAATATTCTTGTTTGACAACGTTTTTGATCGGTCCATTCTTTGACCGTTAACCATTAAACAGCGGGCATCATCAATTGCTGTTTCATTAGAGACCAGCGGATATCACCAATTAATGATATAAACCTTTTTTTTTTCCAACGATAACGACATAATTGATTAATGATTCTAAATTAATAATTAGAAACTCTAGGGTCCCTCAGGTTACGACATTTCCTTGAATGCGTTGCTATATCATCATACATAGTTCTCCAAGAGAAAAGCAGTGAAAATAGTGAAAACTACATATAAATAGTGCACAGTGGAATTGTACATGGAATGATTCACTGAATAACCTCCAAGTAGGTTCCATTTATATGCAATATTTCCCCTTACATTAGGCCTGATACCGAAGATAATACCGACACCTATATAGAATATTTATGCAAGGTTTTATTTCTTTCAAATATCTCGTTGGAGATCGCATGTATTTGAAATTAATTCAGCCAGAAGTTCAGCAACATCTGCATGCATCAAAACGTATAAAATTTTTCTGGGTTACATAAAAAAACCTCAGCAAAACGGTTGCTTTTATTCTTTTTCGAATTTTTATGCAACGTGGGTCGTAAATCAGGTTTCCACAAAGGTGACAAATGTTTCATGATCATTGACCTGTAAACGGCGGGCATTATTAATTGATTTTTCATTGGAGATCAGAAGATATCATTGTATGATTTAAACTTTCTCCAACGATACGGGAAATATTCATTCATGATTTGAGTCTGAATGACAACTCTAGGTCTCATGAGGTTACGCCATTTCCTGGTGTAATTGCCTACGAATAAATCTGGAAGAACATGCCAATGCTATGTCTGCATGAAAACTTCTCGAATGGCACAAAAGATGCATAACTTCACTGTGCATGCAATAATACTTCAATATGAATTGTGCTGTTAAAATATCTATGAACTTAAATGGGTATTAAAACAAATGTTATATTTTCTTTAAAACAGTAAAAATATCAGTATCTGAGATGAAGTATTATGTACACTTACATTGTTCTGACTATTGCCCTCATCTTTGTTGCCATATTTATCACAACGCTCCGGCATTCTTCAGGTAGTTGGAATGTCGAACTGAACCCTTTATTTCGCTCACTGGGGTAGACTGTTCTAGTTCCACGTGCCATGTCTAATGGATGTCAGTTATCTCCTGTTATTTCCCCTCTCTAAGTTCTGCATCACCTTAACCAGGTATTGAACTCACACTCTTTGGGTCCTGTCACTGGATATAACTAACGTCTTTAGATCCTGAGTTCAATACCTGGTTAAGGCGATGGAGAACTTAGAGAGGAGAAATAGGAGATAACTGACATCCATTAGACATGGCACGTGGAACTAGTACAGTCTGTCCTAGCGAGCGAAATGTTCGACATTCTAACAACCTGAAGAAGTCCGAAGCGTACAACGGCCAAAACGTCGTGATAAAACATGAGGACAATAGTCCGAAAAATGTAAATAGTAAGTGAAAATATCATTTTTTATAGTTGTCCATAATTACAGATAAAATAAGCATAAAACTACTAGTTAAGACGATGGACTGCAAATCACTGTCGTCTGCCAGTGTAAGTTCGAATCCCATCCTTGTCGGTTGGTTCAGCGATTTTTAAGCGTGAGCCTGAAAAATATTTTAAATGGGCCTGGAGACACCAGGGGCAGTGTAGTCATTAGACAGGATTTGTATTTTCTATTACATTTTGCTCTTGTAAATAAACTGTCATGGAATTTCTATTTGTGTTTATGTGGGCCTAAATTTTATTTTTACTTTACAACAAAATGGGCCACACAGAAGAAAAGGCTGACAAACACTGGTCGTTAGTTTGTTTCTTTGGATATGCAAGTAGAGTAATGGTTAGAGGCCCATAACGTGAAATTGATGAGACGAGTTCGAATTCCAATCGAGATCATTACATTCACTTTTGGTGTGGTTGGGTTTGTTTTACAGCTTATCAATCTCAATGGGTTATTTAATGCCGGTAATTTTTTTTCAAAAATGTATTGCTGGTAATAATTTTTTACAAAGTATTTCTGGTATTAAAATCTATTTTTACACTTTCATAGTGTTTTGAACCCAGTCTGGGAGGTAACTATTTGCCCATACTAGGACCCCTAACAGGTGCTACCACCCCGGGTCAGGATAGTCATGGGGACACCAACAATTAAGAGGTGGTTCCACGCTCCTCAAAACCTTCTGATCAGAGGCTGTTAGACGTGGTTTATCGTCATACCCAGGATGACATTCACTTTCGTATTCTCATGGGAAAAGGTATGAATCCGTCTATTTTCCCCAGCTATAGGTGAAAAATCTGGATAGACTTGACTTGTGCTGTGGTTTGCACTAGTATAGGAAAACAACTCTGAATTCAAAAACCATGTGGCAATGGTATGGATATATAAATGAACTGTAACTATGGTTCGCTTGGCATAGTTGCAGCATATACTACAGGTTGGCTCTGTGTGTGTGGAAGAAACACAAGCTGGACTGAGCGGAGGGAACGAGCAGCCATGCTGAAGATGAGAAATCACATTGATTTGCAGTGTGCATTCAAGTCGAAAGAGCTTTGATGATGGCATTCATGAGTTAGGAAATTAATAGACAGTTTCGATACATTTGAAATAATGGACTTATTGTAAGAATATCTAATAAATTTGTATGGAAAAAAAAAAAGGTGGACCCCTGGTACGTACGGATGGAATTTCAGGGGGATGGTCTTAGAGTATTTTAATGTAAGCGCGGTACTAGATTTACCGTTGAGTTGACAAGATGTAACCGTTACTTCTATAATTTCTGTGGGGTAAATGTTCGGATGTACTTTTCGTTATGGTCGCCTTAACTTTCCCTGCTCTATATTGAGCTTTTCTCGCCTGTGGAACTTTCCGTAACTTCTATATTGAGCTTTTCTCGCCTGTGGAACTTTCCGTAACTTCTATATTGAGCTTTTCTCGCCTGTGGTACTTCTATTGATTTTCTCGTTGGAACTTTGACTAAGAGCTCTTTTCTCTATAACCGTAACTTCTATATTGAGCTTTTTCTCGCCTGTGGGAACTTTCCGTGTGGAAACTTCTATATTGAGCTTTTTTTTTTTCTTTCGCCTATATTGGAACTTTCCGTAACTATATTCTTTTTATATTGAGCTTTTCTCGCCTCGCTGTGGAACTTTGGAACTTTCCGTGGAACTTCTATATTGAGCTTTTCTCGCCTGTGGAACTTTTTCCGGATCCATGCTATCTACTCTCCTCCTGGTTACTCTTCCTCTGTTCTCGCTCCTTAGCAATTGTTCTTGTTTCTAATTCTTCCACACCCAGTAACCTCTTGTATTCTAGTGACTTTACTGCCTTGTATGGGGGGGTGAACTCTATTTTAAAAAAAAAAGTAGAAAAATATATTTGTCGATATAATCTCCTTTCTTGTTAATGCCCTTAATTTTCATTACCGACGTGCAAATGGTGTAGATTTATTACTGCTGCTAATTAAATATTTCTAATATGGTATGGTAGCAAACGTAGGCGGTGGAGTTATTGGTACACTCATATATATTTCCATTTATGGGCACCTCGAGGTGGTGTAATGGCTAGCAAGCTTGTCTCGCTAGAACAATTACGATTGAGTAGCGAGTTCGATCCTCACTAGGTATCCCCTACTTTCGGCCTTGTGCCACATCTAAGCTACGATTTATGCAAATTTAGTTGAAGATTAACGGGAGTTTTCTCCCTTGATTATTCTAAGGTTCAAAGTATTTTTTTTATTTCCATGGAGGCGTTTAACACTTTAACTACTAATGTTCACCCCTATACAAGCCCCAATATCCACTTGAGGTAGAGAGTTACTGAAGGAGTTTGTTCTGTGAGCGATAAACTTAAGAGACACAGTTTATGTGAAAAAGAAAACTGTTAACCCTGGGCTTGAGTAGGTTAAAATTGTAGCAGTAGAAGAACGATCGTCTTGGAAGTCAATTCCATAAGGTAGCGGTTCGTGAGAATAAGCTGTTCGAGTGGAACTTCGGGTAGCATATCAGGTCCTAGCTGTGAATGTTAGGTCTGATGGAACTCGCTGTTCAATGTCTTCTGATAACTTTCAGTTTATGTAAGCCTTTATCAAAGGATTTTATGTGTTGATCGGATCCATTGTGTTTTGGTGTTATGCATGACAAGTAATTAAAATATTCAGTAATTCTACCGTGTCCTTTTATTTTTATTGACCATAATACGACCCAGTGTTTTTGATGCTAAAAACAGGAATAAAATTGCGTCCTTGAATATAATACGACCCAGTAGTATAGTCATACCTATGTAATTTCTTTCAAACGTTGTACCATATAATATCTCAATGTTGTGCATATAGTTCGCTAGAATGATTTTTTTTTTCCCCCTCACGATATTAAATAATAAGAATTAACCAGATGTTTATCCCTTGCATTTTTCTTCTACTTTCCGTTTCAAAACATATTTTCAAATATTCTGGAAAAGGTGCAAATTAATCTCACACTTTTCTGTTTTAATATATAGAAATAGTCATATCAAACGATGTAAATAAAAAATAATACTGTCTATCGTTAAGAATGAAGAGAAAAATTATTAAAAGAACTAGGAAATCAACATGTAAACATTTTATCTTATGATCAAAACAGTGTATTTGCAATCTTCCCGTTTCAAATAAGAGGTTTTTAAGCCGAGTAAAAATTCCTGAAGACGTGTACTTGTGTATAATACGACCCCCCTTTTGCCTTTAATTTTTGTTCATATTATACGCAAAAAGTACCGGATTTCACTTTGTTTCTTTAATTTTAAAAAAAAGGTCCATTCTGACTTATGGTCTTCATAATTTTTTTTTTCGTTTCGCATTTATGAAATGTTGATTCATCTTTGCTAATGATATTGACAATAGGGAGAAATACGGTATAAATTATATTGCAGTGTTTAAAATTTGCAGACTGTTGCAAGAACATGGTTTCTAAAAAAAAAAAAAAAAATCTACAATACTCTCATAAACAGAATCCTTTAGTGAAATAACCGCACTAGATTTGTGTTCAACTGAAAAGTATTTTCTTTTACAAATTTTAATTCGAAATCTGCTCGAGCACTAATGATATTTTTTTATACACTTTTCTACGTTTCGGACTATTTCTCTAGTTTCCGAGATGAGTTTGAACATAAAATCTATTTTGTACCATAAATAGTTAAAAAAAAAAAAAAAAAAAAAGACTACAAATATTAGAAGCCTTAACCATAAAAACATCTTAAATCAAATTTTAATTCAATTTCTATTAAAGACGCCGATGCGTGAAGGTGTGCCACGATCTGGTCTACCGACAAAAAAAAAAGTTTCGGATTATATGGATTATAAAAAGCGAAATCACTCAAAAGACATTTGGACAATTTAAGTTCAAATGTTACCCGAAAACTAGAACAATAGTCTAAACTGTACAGATCTGAACACAAACTTATACAACTTTTATTTGTCAACCATACTTGTATAAATTAAAATTTATATATAACTGATTGTGTGTGTTAAAAAATAAATAATATAAAAGATGTTTACCTTCCTCCCAGCTTCGTTATTCCACAGGTTCATAAGTCCCTCTGGTACTTCTTTCGTCTCTCCAGAATCTACGAACTCTCTGGAGAACTTATTACCATAGCGGACATTATCCGAACAACCACCCCACTCGAAATCGTCTGTCGGTTCATTGATCCGGATTTTCCGATCGCAGCCGCAGTTATCAAGTTCTCCTTTGGCGCAGCCTCGGGCCACACTGTACATGATCCCTGCAGAGAAGATGGCATAAAGGTAGGCTGTTTCGCGAGTATCTGCAAAATAGATAAAATGAAAATCACTTTATCAACATAGAAATAGCTATATCATTATATCACACTCACTGAAGGTGGACATTACTATGACATCTAATGCTTTGCAGCAAGTGCCCAAAATTAAGATTATACTGGGTGTAACAGCAAAATTGTCCAATTGTTAGATTAAGTTTTGAACCGTTGTATGTTAGAAATGATTAAAGATATCTTACTAGATTTCTCAGAGGTTTTTATAGCACTAGTGGGCTCTACTTTGTAGAATAAGAATGAATTTAGCGAAATTGAAATGACGATCGTCTTACTGTAGTGGTCTCCTGTTCCCTATTTCTTTTAAAGCTTAATCACTGCTCTCTTGATACCATTACTGAAGGTCTGAATGATCTTTTTCCTCTCACTATTGTTCAGACATAGTTTGTTTGTTTTTTAGTTATACTAACATACTTTACTTTACTAACATACTTGATACACGCTTAGGCGATCATGTATTTTTCCGATACACAACTGACGTGGCAGATTGCCGCCCGCAGTATGTTATCATCCAAGATTATGGAACCCGGTCTGTTCTGCTATTTACCCATAGCTGGGAGGAGAGGAGGTTAGCACCTAAATGTAGTGAGGAAAAAATGTATAAATTCAGTTTCAGAGTAATAAGGGTGTCAAGAGAAAAACGTACAGTTAGGTTTACTTCCGCATACATACTCTTGGCGGAAACATTTCAGATAGTTTTAGGTGTATTTATTAATGTTCAACAAATTCTTATTGCATGCTTATAAGGTGACGTAAAGGGAGTAATTTCATTTATCTTCCGTAAGGAACATTTAAAAAATCTTAGCATGAAGCTTGTATGCATGACAAGGCTAAAAAGATATAACCGCGTCTAAACTATATCCCAACAAGGCCTGCTTATAGTCCTATTACGGCTCGGATAGGAGAATCAGAGATCCGAGTTCGAATTCCAGTCGTATTCATTATATTCACCTTGGAAAAGGTAAGAACCCATCTTTTCTCTCCCCATCTATGAGTAAATAGCTGGACAGACTGGGATAGAAGGAAAACTCTGAATTCAAGCCAGCCTGGAGAGAGAGTTGGGCTCCGTCAGGCGATCTTGCTCAAAACACTGCAGTAGATGCGGTGCCTCTACGACTCTAATGACTTACGGGACTCGTTATTGTCATCAGCGACGCCATTTTGACCTACTAAAGCTAAGCAAAGTATTAACAGGAAACTTTCGTCAGAAAGGCAATAAATTTACATTCACATACGTGCTAAGAACTTTGGAAAGGGAATGAACCCATCACTCCCCCCCAAGCTATGGTTAAATAGGACACAAATGAGTTATATAGCTTTGGATGGTAACCTGTCTAGAAGGAAAACTGAAATCAAAGCTGTATGTAGCCCTGGAGAAGCACATAGTATGCAGCTAAGGAAAGGTTCGTTCGCATTGACTCAATGAACCCAACTACAGTCGACAGTACTGCCAGTAATGTTTGTAGGTCGTAGTAATACGACAATCAATCTACAAGCCTCCATTATCTTTGCGGGATATTGTCATTGAAACTTTTCGCATCTAGCGAACTACATTTAAATTATTATAGAGATATTATTTATGCATAAAATCTTTGCACTATTAGGATCTTCTAATTGTATGTACCGCAATCCTCCAGCACATGAATGATCATTACTTTCCACAGCTTCTTGGGTTCAGGGATGGTAAAAGCTTTTGCACAACCATCGACACCTTTCGAATAGTCTCGTCTACCCAGTTCAATTCACAAGACTTGTCTTAACTTGTGGTATGGTTTGCTGGTACTTCCTAGGTATGACGCACGTTTCCCAGGTTGATATTATCGTGACGTCGCCACTTTGAAAAATTGAACATGTTGACATTTGAAGCACGTTGATCCGTGATTTTTAAGCTGTGAGCCTAAATTATATGCCATCTTATAATTATTATGCTTAACCCTTTTGGAAAGATACATTTTCTCTCCATACGAAACACTCGACAAACAATCTATAACCCTCCATTATTATTACTGGACATTGTCGTTGTGTAAGGTTTATATAGCTTTGGATGGTAACCTGTCTAGAAGGAAAACTGAAATCAAAACCCTATGTAGCCCTGGCGAAGCACATATTAGGCAGCTAAGGAAAGGATCGTTTGCATTGACTCGATGATCTCGACTACGGTCAACTGTTTTTTTTATTTATCAACAACTGTTTTTGTTAACTAAAATAGGTAATTGCGCCTTTTTATGAACTAGTAATAATGGCTTCTGTGTACCGCATCCCTTCGGACCATAGGTTTCTTATTCGTTCTGGCTCTGAGCACTGCTTCTCTCCTTGCTCTACCCTTTTCGCCATCCATTCACACAATCTAGTCAGAAGAAGGCAGCGAGCTACTTATCTCTTTTGCCCTCAATATGTCCCATGAGGGTTAAGTTTTCCAAGACCTCCTTCCGCATTATGTGTCCAAAGGATTTCAACTGTCTTTTTCTGATTCTGAGTAGAGTTGTTCTTTCTGTTGTCATTTTCTTTAAGACTTTCTTTGCTTACTCTTTCCGTCCATGGGATTTTCAGTATCCTTCTGTCGAACCAACTTTCTGCTGTCTCTAGTTTTCTCCTCGTCCGTAGGAAAATTGTCCCGCATTCACTGCCATATTAGTGAATGAATATCACATCGCAATCCAGCATTCTTTTCTTTGTTTCTAACGTTTTTTTTTTTTTTCGTTTCTCAGCACCTTGTTTCGCTTTTGAAATGATTCTTTCGCTAGTGTTCAGATCTGTCACATTTTCCATCCTCTATTAAATATCTCCCATTTGTAACTCGCTTCTTGGGCTTTTCTCTCTTGCTGATGACTATACTTTCTGTCTTACAGTTGATGGTTAGTCTTTTTCTCTTGCTTTCTTTTACTACCCTATCATGTACTTTTCTTTCAGAGTCGGACAGCAATACAATGTCATCTACGTATCTTATATTATTAAGATTACCAGGATTTAGCATCGAGGGTTGAAGAAATCTGAAGAAAAGACAGCCTGATTTCGTCCTTTTCTGTTTTTGTGTAGCTGCTCAATTTTATATCCGTATGCAGGTGGTGTGCTCCGAGTATAAGTTCGGGGTAATTGTAACATTTGTTTCCCAAATATATTTAGTTTTCCGTGCACTTTAAATAGATCATTGTGCCATACCTTGTATATTTATTGTATAAAAATACAATTATGGCACATAGCCTAAGCTAGTTTTCACTGACTATCCTATACCTAGCTAATCCGATTCACGACCCATTCACTCATTACAATTCGCACATTCACCATAAAAACTCATCCTTCACCAATCAATCCTCCATATACTATAAGGCCGTATCCTCTCAATGAAACCTACAAAAACGTACTCCATGACATAAAAATTTGATAATAAAGTTGCATACATAAAAATCTAATAATTGATAATGAGAGAGGAGGGGATGAACCCCAAAACAAACTAAACCTAACTGATGTTAGTAGGGCCCGTCCAACCCTCAAGAGAAATGCCGCTGTATTCTGCCTATCGGACAAAATCAAGAGGTTCTCTCGTTAAGAGAGTGGGAAAGGATAAAAAAAATATACGGACATTGGGAAAAATAAAAAGCTGACCCAATCGAGATAAAAAGGATGCGAAAGTAAACTGAGGAGGTTGTGGACCTCAACTTGGATCATAAACAAAGATGTAGCCGGGAACAACACTTACATAAACTAGGTACAGTAAGCTTGTCTAGCCTAACCAGGGGAGGGCTCCACAGGAAGCCGCCCCGATGTGACCTGGGTAGACCTAAAAAATGAAAATCAAGATTAGCTCCGTTCACACGAACCAAGATCGCCTCAATCACCCACCTTTTCGCTAAAGACTGTTGAATGCAAGCGTTTTCTATCAGTTCAAATCTTCAACTTGAGCTGATGCTCAAAGAATCGGTTGCCTCGCAAAACTTCCTCCTGTCACGTCGTCCAAATCACCATTCGGGCCGTGGCCAGTAGCGTTAGAAACAGCATTTGTTTTACCTCAGAGTACAGTGGGGGGGGGCACATTGTTACACGCGTATGCGCGATCAATGCCTTGTGCCATACCTTGACAAATGCTTTTGTGTAATCTATAGAATATAAGCGCACATTCTTCTGCTTTTGTATTGCTCTCTGTATTTGTATTGGCCCCTTTTCTGTCCCCGTTTTTCTTTGGTTTAATTCCTCATCCCCTCCCTTGTTAGGGGGTCAGTGACGTCAGTTTTCTGGTGGGTGCGAGCCGCCTTTCGTTTCAGGTGTGTTTGAATGAGTACATGTTTGGGTGAGTGATTGGATGAATGAATCTTTTATATTATTAAAGTTCCGCATTGATTTCGTCCAGTTAACTAATATTTCTGCCACATTTAGGGACTGTGAGTTTCTTTTTATTACTAATTATTTTTTTATTTTGTACATCTTTGTAAATAATCATTGGGTCAAAAAATTTTAATTTGTTTTATTTCTCTTCCCCCACAGACAATAAATTGTATATATGGGGTCTAGTTAGAACTTGCATAAAGACAATGAGGTATTATGGTAGATGTAATAGGAAAGGTAAGTAAGAATGCGTTGTTTCGGTGTTAGGAATATTGCTGTATGTTTGGGTCAGTGTTTGTGGCTAGCAAAGACAGATGAAGACTGTCACTCCACCCCACTTTGGGCCTTGTCACATTTTGTATTTATACAAATAAATATCGTATTGCTATCTGATAACATTCTAATCCGTGTTTCTAAGAATGGACAAATCTTGTTTAATTTTACTCAACAGCTGTATTAATTTAAGTGCTATAGCCTATATAAACTTGTTCGTAATAAAAGCTTATATTACTTCTTTGAATTGTTAGCTTTTTATATTCTTGCCAAGACAGGATGCCACAAAATAATGCAACCGAGTAAATTTAATATAAACTTCCCATAGAGATG